CTCTTTATTTTGGATGCAGAGAATGCATCTTGTGGTTGGACTACTTACGTCCATTGTAAAGCTGGGCGTGGAAGAAGCACAACCATTGTGCTTTGCTATTTGGTAATGTGGTGTTGTCTGCATAAAATTTATTAATCTGTCGCTGAATATGTGCCTATAAGGTTTGAGTTAATGTTTTCCTTCCAAATTTATTAATCTGTGTAGAAAGTTATTAATCTGTGTATTAGTTATTCTTTAGTTCCTTTTTAATCATTCTACAGATTGTGGAATTGAATCAATATTTTCACATTGTGCAGGTGGAGTATAAGAACATGTCTCCTGCTGCTGCCCTGGAATATGTGCGTTCTAAAAGACCTCGAGTGCTCTTGGCTCCTTCGCAGTGGAAGGTAAGAAAACTAAGTGAATTATATGAAAGAAAATGTTATAACAGGTCTGCAATTTAGAATTCCTTTCCCATTGGTGAAATTGATCTAGTAAAGGTGATGGATTGGATTGAACCAGAAGTGCTTTGTTTGGATTGCATTCTTTTACCACTGCATTTTCAGTAACTTTATGAACAAAATAATCCAGAAAGAATTATGAAATGCATATACATATATATGTTTGGGTAAGATTTTCAGTAGAACTTTCCTAAAAGATTCCTTCATTTTGTTGAACAAGATGAGATCTCTGAACTTGAGGGATATTCCTCATACTATCTACGTTGTTGGGTGATTATTCAGTATTTTCGGAATATGGATACGTGGTGCTCCTTAAGGTTTTGATTGGTAGAGACAGGTTGGGGTCCATGATTTATGTTAGGGATGGAAGAACAATATGGAGGCTAAGTAATTGGTGATTGGCTTGGAATATGGTCACGTGGTGTTCCGGGATTATTACCACATGGCCATACTCCAAGCTAATCACCAATTACGTAGTTCCTATGTTGTTCTCCCATTCCCGACATAAATCATGGCCTCTATCCGTTTCTACCCATCAAAATTCTATGGAGCACCACGTGATCATACTCTGGGAACACTGAATAATCACCCATCAGTGATGGATCATTTGACTTTCCATTTGCGTTCATTGCTCAACATCAATGGTTTTTGATGTGCAGGCAGTCCAAGAATACAAGCAGCACCGATTAGTGTCTACTCACTCTCCCTCCGGGGATGCAGTTTTGATTACAAAAGCAGATTTGGAAGGGTACCATAGCTCTTGCGATGACAAAGTCAGCAAGGCGTTGGCAGTTGTGCCCAGAGTGGGAAGGCTATCGTGTCTCTTAGCTTCTTTGAAAGAAGTTTCAGGTGGCTTCGGGCCTGTTCCTAGGCGGCTTGCCGATGCACGTGCTTGCTAAGGGCACCCACACCAGTTAGGTGGGTTGCTTGTACAGAAGTGCATTATGGTAATAACATGCATGGGCGGGGCTATGCATAAAGTAGTGGGTTCAACCCACTCAACTTTGAATTTTTTTTTTTAAAGAAAAATGTAAGTATTATATAAATTTTTTGAAAGGCTTTCTTAAATTGGCACCATTAAAGTTGTTCAAAAAAAATAGGGGTATTTTTTTTAAGGTCCCTGATATTATGATTTTATAGTAGAAAGGACATCAAATATTTTCATGATGTCTAAGGTCCCTCAACACCAATCCAGAGAAATTTCAGTCCCAGAGAAAATTGGTCCAGAGAAATTCTGGGAAGAATTTCTCTGGACCAATCCAGAGAAAATTTAGTTCAAAAACCAGAGAAATTTGAAAAATCCAGAGAAAATTCCCATAACCCTCAAAGCTTTCAGTTTCAATTGTTAATGTATTGGCAGTTGTGGAGTCTTATGATGAGATGAAAGATCATGATGATCATACTATTAAAAACCGTAAGCCACTGGATGAAGTGTAAATGGAAGAGAAAATGCAAATTGAAGATCATGCTGAAATTAATTGTCCAGCCATGGATGATTCACCAGGTAATGTTGTGTAAAAACATATACACTAATATTCAGCTGTTCCTTAATTCTATCAGAATGTCATTAACAATTTTAGAGGTTGGATTTTTAATCACAATTGCACAAGTTATGCAGAATGTTTTCCCTGCAGTATTGATTTAATTTTATTACATAAATGTTATTAGCAAATCCGTCTTTGGTTGTTAAAACCAGAGAGTTGAACCCAGAGAAATTCTGAATTTTCTCTGGGTTGAACCAGAGAAATTCTGAATTTTCTCTGGAACTATGAAACTTTGATTTGATCAATTTGTCAATTGAAATACCTGGGGGACTCTTTCTCTGGATATTTTTTTATTTTGCGTACTGCTTCAATGCTTAGAAAAAATTTTAATATTTCAAACCAGAGAAATTCTAGACTTTCCAAAAAAAATTTCTGGATTCAAACTAGAAAAAATTCAAAACATTCAATTTTCTATGAATTTCTCTGGTTTGAAAATTTCAATTTCTCTGAGCCTAGTACAACTCTATGACTCATCTAGCTTGGCTTCTTCCTTCCTCTTCCCTCTCTCTCTCTGTTTCTTGTTTTATATCTTTCTTCCAAGATTCAGAATCAGAACAAGACATAGCATAAGACTAAAAATTTTTCAACAATTTCCCTTAGTTTTGGCAGCAACTAAACAAACAAACACAAGGCCAAGGGAATTAAAAAAGAAAAAACAAGAACAACCTGATATCAACACCACCATTAATGATATATCTGGAAACATTAAAATTTGCTAGGATTTAACCCAATTTTCAAGTCAGAGAAAATACTAGGATTTAATCCAATTTTCTTAGCCTGCAGAAACACATCAACTGTTCAAGCATTAAAATTTGCTGGCATTTGTTCTTGGAACAACAATTTGATTAGCTACACAAATCTCAACACTTGGGTTAGAATCAAACACTGTACCATCTAGTTTGCCCATATTTCTCTGGCTTTCAAATTTCTCTGGATTGCACAAATTTCTCTGGTTTGCAAACTAAGCCAAAAAAAAAAAAAAAAAAAAAACAAATTCAAATGGTTTGCAAACTAAGCAAAAAAAAAAAAAAAACTTACTGGGTTAGCACCATTTGAATAGAATCCACATTCCGATTCAACTCTCAAGCAAGTCATGCAATTCCACGACGCCGCATCTAAAGCAGTTAGATAGCTCGCTCAGGTAAAGTTTCCAAAAGCGGTGGATTCAACTTTGATATAATATTTCAACACCACCATTTTTAACTCCAGGAAGTCTCTCTCTCTCTCTCTCTAAAAGGATGGAGGACAGTTCGTCAAGACAGGGCACCGTGACATATGCTTCATGGATCAGACGGCCGGAAACGCCCATCTCGTGGAGGTCGGAAAGGCCAGGCATCGTAATCAACCCTCGCTCATCGAGATCTTCTCCTTTGATTCCATGACCTCCTTTTCTCTCTTCCAACTCCTCGGTCTCTACTCTAGCCCCCACTGAGACTCTTGTTTCTTCTTCAACAAGCTTCACACGTGATTGAAGAAAGGAGAAAGGGGCTGAATTTCTCTGTGATAGATGGGAGGGACTTTAGACATCAAAAAATAATTTTGTGGATCTCTTCCATTATGAAAAGTGGGAGAGGGACCCTAGACCAATTTTCCCTATATTAATAACTCTCTCTCTCTCTCTCTCTAAAAGGATGGAGGACAGTTCGTCAAGACAGGGCACCGTGACATATGCTTCGTGGATTAGACGGCCGGAAACGCCCATCTCGTGGAGGTGGGAAAGGCCAGGCATCGTGATCAACCCTCGCTCATCGAGATCTTCTCCTTTGATTCCAAGACCTCCTTTTCTCTCTTCCAATTTTGCTATAAATAATGACTGTTATACTCCTCGGTCTCTACTCTAGCCCCCACTGAGACTCTTGTTTCTTCTTCAACAAGCTTCACACGTGATTGAAGAAAGGAGAAGGGGGCTGAATTTCTCTGTGATAGATGAGAGGGACTTTAGACATCAAAAAATAATTTTGTGGATCTCTTCCATTATGAAAAATGGGAGAGGGACCCTAGACCAATTTTCCCTTAAAAAAATATATAGTGAGTAATAATTAAATACCACATAAAATATAACTAAAAACCTTTTAATCATAATAAAAAAAAAGGTTATAACTAATAACATAATAAATAACCAAATTATAACCGAAAATTAAAAAAAAAAATTGTCATAAGTGGGCATATGGTCATAAGTGGGCATGTGGTTTGTATTATAAAATTTCTCTCAAAATTCACAACATAAAGAAAGGTAATATTATATATTGAAAATTCATAATTAAATTCTCTCACTGTGTTTGGTTGGAGGATTTGGAAAGAAAAAGAGAAAAATTGTGTAAAATTAAGTAGAATGTATAAATATTTTATTCATGTTGCACATACATTTTCCCTTTTCCTTTCTCTTTCTAATTCCAAATCCCTTTCTAAATCTCCCAACCAAATACAGTGTAAAGTTCCGGTATTGAGAGAAGGTGAACCTTTTAAGTATTAATGTGTATTGAATTTTTATTGGGGAACTTACTGATAAGTTTCATACACAAAGTTTAAAATCTATCTAGTTCCAAAACAAAACACTTGCACCAATTAGTCCTATATATTTTTAATTGTTACCAAAAAATTTTATTAAAAAAAAAAATTAAAGACGGTCTTACATCCCACAACCGTCGAACTTCTGTCAGACGGTCATCAGAGACTCTCCGAAATATTCAACATCACCGGGAAGTCGCCGGAATATCATCAGAAATTCACCGAAGTATAGCCAGAATGTTCTGAACGTCACTAGAAGTCATCGGAATGTTTAGAATATTCGTTGAACGTCAAGAATATCGTCAGAGACTCACCAGAATGTCTAGAATATTACCAAAAAAAGAAGAAAAATAAAATGAGAAATTAAAGTGAAAAAATATAGCAAAATATTGATAAACTGAAAGAAAAAAAGAAAAAAAAACCTAAGAATAACAAAAAAACAACAATGAAAAAAAACATATGCTATTTTCAATTTTTGTAAGGTTTAAGAAAATAATTTCTAATATTGATCAAACTGAAAAACAAGTTTTGAAACTGTAAAATGTTACAGTTTCAAAGTATAACTCTATTAAGTATTTATCATTATTAATCAAATTGAAAAAATGTGTTATGAAATTGCAAAATTTTACAATCTTAAAGAATGATTCAATTCAACACTAAAAAAACTAAAACTGTAAAATTTTATAGTTTTCACCGCCTGTAATTAAAACTCGAAAACAACTTGTTCAAAACTTGAAAATTTTCTCCATTATAATAGGAAAGTATAGTGTATAGTACGAAAAAAAAGTATTGAAACTGAGAGATAAAGAGATGTTTTTACTCCGACAACTATTTTGTAGTTTAGACCTAACCGGATCTAACATATATTTACTCAGATATGATGTAGATTTAAATAGATCTACATCAGATTTGAGTATATCTATCCATTTTCTTTATTAGAAACTTATCTCTTTCTCCATCGATGAGTACGAAGTAAGGATTTGGTGTTCAGTGGTTGTCCGTGGACCCCAATCAATAGTGATCATCGATCACCAGTGACTGTAGATTAGAAAGAGAAAGAAAAAGAAAAAGAAAAAGAAAAAAAGAAGGGTGTGGTCGTGGTCGTGGTCGTGGTTGATATCAGAGAAAAGAGAGAGATAGAGAAGGAACAATGTGTAAGGAAAGATAAGAAGATAAATGAATATAGGACTTTAAATCTATCTGAAAGATTTTAGAATTAGATAGAATACATACTTTTAAAAAAAGAATTGAATAATTTGCCTTTTTTTTTTCCATATATATTTGAGTTGGGTCCAAGCCCTGTTTGTTGTATGAGACTTTTACGAAATAGAATAGAGTATGTTTGAGTTGGGCCCAGCCCTATTTGTTTTGAGAGTCGAAGGATTAGATTAGATAGGTGTAAAAAAATTGTTTATTTTAAAAAGTTATCGTGAGATTAAGGGTTGGTTTGGTAACTTTAAAAAAAAATTAAAAAGTCAAAAAATTATTTGAAAAGTTAAAAAATTATCACTATTTATAAAAAAAAAGACAAAAATATTAATATAAAAATATTAAAATATAAATTAACTTTTTGGTCCATCAACGTACTGGCATCAAAGCAACTGCAGTGAAAGAAAAAAAAAATTTACATGTGTACATTCACTAAGTTGGATGGTAAAGTTGAGCCCGTGAACAGTGGCAGAGGGAGCATGTGACTAGGGGGGCCACGTGCCTCCCCTGGATTTTGGGAGTTTTTTTTTTTTTTTTTTTGCAAATATAAAAAAAATATATTTTAAATAAAAAATTACAAAAATATTATTAAAGTGAAATGTCAATGACATTTTAAAAATTATGAAAATAAAAATGATTGTTTTGATTGAAAATAAAGAAACTATTATAAATAAACTATATTAGCTATGAAATTTTTTGAATGTAACGGCGATATCATTATTAGTGATATGTAAGTATAAGTAATCTCACTATAAAGATATGAAAATTATTAGATTGTTAATTACATTTGACATGTGAGGTTCACTCTTTATGCTTTTATTTACCATTAGTGGGTGATATCACATACCAATGATGGCGTGGTATTACCATTATATTGAATTTTTAATCAAATTTTGTATCAAAAAATAATTTATCATTATATAATTTATTTTAAGGCTTATATCCTTTTTTTTTTTGTATTATCCATGATACACTAGTTACAAATAACATTCAGCTTGATTGTTTTCAATTTTCAGAAAACAGTTTTCAGAAAATTTACTTTTTTATTTTTCATATTTTAATGTTTTGAATGATTTTTTTTAATATTTTAAGCAATTTTTTTTTAATTTTTAAACACATCTAACATAAATACACTTAAAAAGTATAATATTTGTAAAAAAAAAAGTTTAAAAAATACATTAAATACCAAAAAATACAAAAAAAAAATAAAAAACAAAAAAACAAAAATTTAGTATATTTTTTGTATTTTTGTGTATTTATTAATTTTTTAAAATATTTTTTTACAAATATTTTACTATTTAGATACATCTAAGTAAGGTGCATCTAATTACTTAAAATTCAAAAAATATTCACTAAAAAAAAAAATTTGAATTTTCAAAAAACTGAATTCAGAAAACTGAAACCAAACACACTAATTATTTTTTTTTTTGATGTTTCTTGAAATCAATTGTAAAAACTTGTGAGAAATATTTTTGTAAAAATTATTGTAATTAATAAGTGCCCCCTCTAATTTAATTTTCTAGCTCCGCCATTGGCCGTGGGGGCCACCATGGGTCTCATTTTGATAATCTGAACCATTTAATATATAGAACTCGTCTAGTACTATATGCCTGTAAAAAATTACGTCTATCGGATGTCACTAACTACATTACCAAATCAATTTTGTATAAAAAATAGATGGTGTTATAATTAACAATTGACAAAAAAAACTAAAACGATCAGACAACTATCGATATCCAATCAACGTGATTTCTACAAGCATATAGTACTCGATGAGTTCTACACATTGAACGGTTCTGATTAGAAAAATGGAACCCGTGATGAGCCCCCACAGGCCGAACAATACCGTCCTATCAAAGCCCGAAAATGAGGCAATCTTTTCCTATTTACTCACCCAGCTTACTGCACTGCCAATCTTCTCCTACTCACTTATTTATACAATTTTTTAATAAATATTTTTTCATAAAAAGTCAAAAAATTAACCAAAATATCTATATTTTTCTCCTTAACTTTTTAGTCTAAAAAGATAAAAAATACATTTATTTAAGACACCCTAAACAACCCCTAAAAACTTCATAGGACTATGCAATCTCTCTATGGAAGGGATTAACAATCCTATGAGAAAGAGATGATATTAAGGGGTTGTTTGGGGTGTCCTCAATTAGTGCACTTTTTATCTTTTTGGACTAAAGTTAAGTGAAAAAATATGGATGTTTGGGTTAACTTTTTGACTTTTTATGAAAAATGTGTATTAAAAAATTGTATAAGTTAATGTGTTGGGAAAAATTAGGATTGAGAGTTGTGCAGTCATAATTTTTAAATTTTGATGAATAGTGATAACTTTTTAACTTTTTGAGTAACTTTTTGACTTTTTAACTTTTTTTACATTTCCCAAACTTGGCCTAATATTTAATCCCCTAATATTAGAGATAAAAAGATTAATTTATTCTTCATTTTACAAAAATAATAAAGTTATCATTTATATAACAAACCAGTTCCAAAAAAAAGTAATTTATATAACAAAGTCTTTTACATAATTTTAGAAATTTAGGGATAGTTTGAGATATTCTAAATAAATGTACTTTTTGACTTTTAATAATAAAAAAAAATAAAAAAAGTGAGTGAAAAAGTAAAAAAGAAATGTTAGTTTGAAATAACCAATATATATATATATATATATATAAAATTGACGAGTGGAGTGGGGATGACTTTTGCTTTCTTTGCCCCATTCTACCCAACCCTTACTCCGATTATAAATATTAAATATGTATATATATATAAAAAATATAATATCATTTTTTCACTATAATAAAATGAAAATACTAAAATATTATATTTAATATTAATTTTTACTCATATATTTTTTATTTTATAATTCGCATTAAGTACAAATCATTGTTCATAATAAATTATATTATTCATAATTTTTATTTTTTAATGGATAAATTATAAATACATCCATTAAGATTTGATTAAAATACAAATTATCTCCTGTGGTTTTAAAAATTACATTCTATTCCTTGAAGTTTTTAATTTCATAACAAATCACCTATTTTATTAATAAATTATTAAGTCAATTAACTGTTTTTAATGATATTATAAATATGTTTCAATTAATAATTTAGGTAATTTTATTATTGTATAAGAGAGCAAATATTAAACTCTTTTTTTTAGTTAATTCTGTTAAATAAAATTTTTTACAAGGAGATATTTGTAATTTTTCAAATTACAAGAAACAATCTATATTTTAAATAAACATAGGGCTCGTTTGCCAATGATTTTTTTAGACTTTTTTAACCTAAGATTTTTTTGTTTGTTTAATTTTTTTATTTGACTTTTTTGACTTTTTAATTTTGAAATAACAAACTTTTTGTTAATTTTTTAACTTTTATTTATTTATTTATTTATCCATATGCAATTATTTAACGCAAAATATTTACCAAACCGGGGCTTAATAATCCCCTTACTCAATTAAACGAGCCGTAAGGATTAAGCCACGTATGCCAACCGCCGAGCCATGTTTGACCGTTGGGTGCCTCACCCTTCCCTTTCTTCACTCACCAACAAGCAAACACACCCCCCAAGTATCCACTCCCGCCATTATTGTATCTTCCCTTCCCATCTCTCTTTATTACTCTCCATTTCTATTAAATAATAGAATTATACTATTTAATTGCCCTTTTCAAGAACAATACACCCAAATTAGTAACCAAACAAACAACATACACAACTATATGCTATAACTAATTCCATACATGATTATATTTAATTGATTCTGAACATTCAGACAAAAGCCTTCTTCCAATTGGGTTTTTTGATTAACTTTAGATTTGACTTCACACGCCATGGACATCGGCTGGTGGAGAAACAATGGAGCCCTGTGGCCAGTTTTGTATGCACTGTTTCTGGGTCAAGTTGTCTCTTTTTTGATGTCACTCATGAGCTTCACTTCCTCTCTTGTTGCCAATCTCGGTCAGTACTTTTCTCGTACAACTTTTCCCTCTGATTTCATGATCCTCTTTCTTCATTTCATTTTTTTTTTCCCTTTTGTCTTCTTAATTTCTGTTTGCTAGTTTTATTGGGTTTTTATTGGGTTGTTCTTTTTTGTATATGGGTTTTTGATTTTTTTGAAGCTTGTGTTAATTTGCTATATTGGGTTCACTTTACATTTTTGATTCTTGATTTACTTTGCCTTATCTGAGTGTCTCCTTTTCGCAATCCTTGTATATTTTTGCAGATTTTTCTTTAAACTATATCAGTTTTTTTTTTTTTTTTTAATTATTTTTTTTTGCAGGTGTAGATACACCGCTTACTCTGTCATTCTTCTCTTACCTGGCTTTGGCTTTGGTGTATGGAAGCATCTTGCTGTACCGGCGTCATAAACTATTGGTAAAATTGTCTTTCTTCTGATCATTCATCACTTTCACAAAATTTTACAGAGGATAATAAATTCAGAAGTATAAATTTTTGTTGGGTTTTGATGTATATGTGTACCTTCTTCAATGCATTGTATATGTTCATGTATCTTACATTTTGTGAAATTATGTTTGATATGGTGTACTTAATTTACTGAAATACTAATTTTATTGTGTCCGAGTTAATAAATGGGTATCAAAATGTCAATTTGCTTTTGGGGTTTGATAGATGAACAATTTGTTTGGTGGGTTTTGCAGGTTCCTTGGTATTGGTATGTAATCTTAGGTTTTGTCGATGTCCAAGGCAATTATCTTGGTAAGTACCATGCCAATTCAACTTTTCTCTCTTGTGGGGTGCTCTCACACAAACACACACATCCCTGATTTTGCCTAAAGCATGTTTATATTTTGTTTGAACATTGTTTCTCTACTAGTAGAAAACAACTGTTTGCATAATGAAAACGCGGAGTTGCAACTGGTTGGATACTTGCAATGAATAACTTCCTTTGGCAACCTCTTAAAGCTAGCCTTATTGGCTAATAAAGCTCATTTTGCTAAAAAAAAGCTTTAGGCCATAATCATATCCACTTCCCACCAAAAAAACAAACTTTAGCTATTCTAAATAGTCATTAGAAAAGTCAAAAAAACTAGAAATATATTCTTCAATTTTGTCATAAGAGGGAAAACAAAGAAAATCGGTGGGGTAAATTTGAAAGTAGGGGAATAATTGTTGTGGTACCAAGAATGGGGACATTAGTAAATGTGGCATTGTTTGTGGAAACTCATCAAGCACGTTATATGAAAAGAGAAATATATTAGGATCAATAAACCAAAAAAATTAATATTATTTTTAAGACTTCTCCAAAAAAATAACTATAATAACAATAATAATAAAATGGACAGAACTTTGTGACAATGCAGATATAAAATTTGGAGTTTTGTGTTTCATTAATACATCACCTTATTTGGATAAGATAATCAAATGGGAAACCCATACTGAAACTGTTGTTTGATGGTTGTGCAGTTAATAAAGCGTACCAGTATTCATCAATTACTAGTGTGACATTATTAGATTGTTGGACTGTAGCATGGGTCATTGTTCTTACTTGGTTCTTCCTGGGCACACGATATTCGCTGTGGCAGTTCTTTGGTGCGGCACTCTGTGTGGTAGGCCTTGGGTTAGTGCTTGTCTCCGATGCTGGGGTGGGTGGCGGAGGTGACATTTTCTGTTCCACCTTCTAATCTGGTCTGTTTGATTTTGTGGACGTCACTATTTAAAACAATCACTAGAAAAGAAGTACCTGTTTGCTTGAAGTAATAGTACCTTTCTAACCAATATTAGTTGATTCTTGTTTTAACATGTCAAAACTATATCTTTCAGGTGGTTCAAAACCTCTTCTGGGTGATGTACTTGTCATTGCAGGGACACTTTTCTTTGCAATGAGCAATGTTGGTGAGGTTGGTGAATTTGTAAAATTGCACTCTCTCTCTCTCTCTCTCTCTCACCATATTTATGTCCCTGAATTTTCATTTATTATCCCTTCCTAAATGCAGGAGTTTTGTGTGAAGAAGAAAGACCGCATTGAAGTAGTTGCAATGCTTGGGCTTTTTGGAACACTCGTGAGTGTGTGTCAAATGTATCCTTTTTATTAGAAAATAAGATTAGAGACATGGAATTGCACTTGCTTCTTGAAAACATCTACTTATGTTATTTTAGCTTCGATGATAGCTTTAGAATACAATTTTATGTCACTTTTCATTAACATGAAGAATAATGTTGCTTCCATCCCATAACTTTCTTTTAGAGCTATATTGGAGAGAGAGAGTCTGGAATCAGTAACGTGGTCCGCAGAAATTGTAAGTAATGAATTTTTTAATAGTTTGATTCAGTGCATTCTATCTGAAACTTCTGACTCAATTGAACAAACTTATTTGCATTACTCTGTGTAGACTGGTGAGGATTTTATACAATAATTGTTTTTTTTTTTCTTTATTCATAATGGACCTAGTTTTAAATGCTTCTTTAGACATTCTAAAACTCTTTCATCATGTAATTGAAGATGTGATGCCATTTCGGATGTAATTGTTGTGATCTAGTTGTCATGGTTGCTCTGTCTCAGTAGAATAAAAGTGGCTCCGTTAGTGTTATTTTTTATTGGTTTCGGTTTAGTGGAACAAGTGTTTGATGACTACCTGAGTAGAGCAAAATGCTCTTTCACTTCATCGGGACTCTTTTTCTAGTCTTTACGTTTACCCCTCTCCCCTCCCTTTTAAGGGAACTTGTGGTGGCTTGAAATAGAAAATAATATGAAATCACAATCTGACAACAAGTGTATTGTATCAAAATTTTAATTATAAGTTAAGAACACTTCCAATAAAAGGGGACGAATGAGATGTACAATTGTAGAAGAGTTTAGGCAAAACTTTCAGTGTCAGTTGATGAGAACCTTATTATTCGGTACCCTGAATAGAGCTAGGTCCTTTTCTATTGATCTGTTTAATACTAAAGGCTTAGGATTGATATTCTGAATCATTTGCTATAACTATGGGACCAATGCAAGACGGTAGTGAACGAAAACTGTAATTTCTCATGGCAATGGTCCCTACCTACCAGGTTTTCATGCTCAATTGACCATGAAACTCGCAAAAAGACGTTTAAGTGAAAAGAATTAGCATTACTGGAAAGTACTTAAGGAGAGGATGGTGGATGATGACGCTTATTTGAGTTTGAAGAGCTTCGATAATTTTGTGCTTTGAGTGAAATAGATGCTATAATCTTTGAGATCATGCATTTGCTTAAATCTTCATTTCCTCTTGGCCAATTTCTGCAAAAACTAACCTTTGTGTAGAAAAAATTGGAAGAAATGAGGAGCAAAGACAATAAAATAACCATTCATAATTCCTCCCTTCCTTCTCTCCAAAGAGTGAATTATGTGTGTGTGCGCGCACTTTCTTCTTCTTTATTTATGTTTTTTTCATTTTCTTTAACGTATCATAACTGTATATATCTTTATTTTGTTTACAGATACTAAGCTTTGCTGGCTATGGCCTGGCAACTTTTATGTTCTATACATTGGTTCCTTTTGTTCTAAAGGTCAGCTGTGCTGTCAATTAACAGTTACTGATAAATTGCTTCCATATAGATGAAATTCATTTACGTTTCAGCAGATTTAACTCTACAATGGAAATCACTCCAGTAAGAAAGACTAGTTGAAGTTTTTCTGTAAACGTTTTTCTCTGACTGAAAGCATAGTTTGAATGCTAAGTTCCTTAGTTGTTTTGGTATATCATGCTCCCAAATTCACATTAGATTCTGAGCTTTCAAAGCTTGAACCTTGAAGCTTTTCCAACCCCATTTTTGTTTGTTGGAGGACCATATTACGAATCTACTGACTAGTGCAATTCCCATTAGTAGGATTCTTTTTCACCGTAGAATGCAAATAATTAAATTATTCATAGTGAAGCTGTTTCATTGGAAGTTTATCTACTATCTCTAATTGGATTACAATTTGAAAACAGATGAGTGGAGCCACAATGTTCAACCTCTCTATTCTCACATCTGACATGTGGGCCGTTGTCATTCGTATCTTTTTCTATCACCAGCAGGTTCTCTTCTATTATTAGCTACAACTTTACTGCTCTGAGTCTGATTCAGTAGTACATGTAGTTGTACAACAGTTCTAAGCTTCCATAACAAATCTGATCTGATATAATCTCCATTTGCAGGTTGACTGGTTGTACTATCTATCATTTGCAATTGTCGTTGTTGGACTCATTATATATTCAAAAATGTACATGTTCTAGCCCTTGTCTTGCAGAGTACATCCCTGCATGTGTCGAAATTTGCATTTGTCTTTTAGAACAATTAACTTGTATCCAGTAAAGATTTTCACAAGTTCCTTTATGCAGAAACTAACATTTAGCCTGTTTTTGGCTCTATTTGATAGTGAGAAAGAAGGTGTTCCTGTTCCAGCTCTTGAGGATGGAAATCTAAATGTACAATACCAAGCAATTACTGAAGAAGAAAGTGCAGAATCTTGAAATGGAACTGTAGCCTCGTAAAATGCAAAAAATTCGTGGTAGCATGGGTTCTTTTTTAGCTTCACATACGGAGGTAGAATTTGAACTTTCACAATTTCATGTTTTTAGTAGATGTCGAAATTTGCTAGACCTTTTAATGTAAAAAAGGCTTGAATCTTCATTTTGAAATCTGATACTGATACTGTCCATGTTCTCTCCCTCTCTCTCTCATTGTTTCATGTCCATTTGATGTTCCAAGTATCTTGCTACTGGTTTACAGCACCTTGTTACAACTAAAATTTTGTATTTCTGAACTTAACAGTAACGATACGGAAACTTATTGAATAGTCCTGGAGTTCCATGTGACATTGCCTAGCAGTCCAAGATGTTTCTTTTCAACTCTCTCTCTCTCTCTCTCTCTCTCTCTCTCTCTCTCTCTGTGTGAATCTGCTTGTAGTCTGTCATGGAGTTAAACTTCAGCTCGTATATCAAAACTATGACCCAGCCATTTTGAATAAAAAAAAAAAATAGGACTTATTTGACATTGGAGGCAGCTTTCCTCCAATCCACTAATTGGATTGAAGGATTGACATTGTAGGCCCATCTTGGGCCCATTTCTTTTATCCAAACCATTCAACTTTTAACGCCTTGCAATTAGATTACGTAAATAAAAATTCAATTTGATTGGATATCAGTAATCACATGTTTATATTATATTGATTTTATAAAAATAATGGATAACAAGTATAATTTTAAAAATATGCTATATATTATAAAAACAAATGCTGCCTTCTACTTTTTCTTTCTGTCTCTTTTCATTTACCTCTCTCTTTCCTCAGTCTCTACAAAACCCTAACCAACGTTACTGTTGGGAATAAATTCACTTAAAACTTTGATGCCACCTGCTTGAAAAAATATTTTCATATGTTGAAAGCATGTCCAAAATAAATCTGTACGCACACAATACTTAACCTGATTCGATAAAAATACCTACATCCATAGGCGAGAAAATAAAATTTACTATGAATAACATAGAGTATAAAGGTGAGACCAAATATCAAAAATCCAACACCAATACTCTAGACTCTTGTTAATTGAGCTCACTTTAGACCTATTTTAATAATCTGAACCGTTTATCTTGTAAAACTCATCTAGTAGATCATTCATATCAAAAATTAACTTAATCGGACATCTGTAACCACACAATCAGGTCGCATTTTCCTATGTAAGAAATGAACAGTCAATTTTGAAAATGATGCATACTATTCTGGAAATGGTACAGTCTATGTTGGTGAAGAAAAGCTATATCCTAAAATTTCACTCGTTAAATTTTCAAATGTTGATAGCTGTTGTACGGGGAGGAAATAATTCTCCTCGTATAATCCTGTTGATCAAGTCCACGCTCCTCCGTATGACGTCGCTTTATCACCTGAAAACACAAACGTGAGCTAGCCGGCGGGTGTGTGCCGGAAACCTCTCCGATGCCTAAGTTAGTAAGCTTGACAAATAGACAAAGCTCTATGTTCTCAGAAAGAATTATGTTCAATTACCTCCTTCAAAGTGATGTTTGTGAGCTTTTATAAGTTTCCCGTGGCATAATTCTGGTAGGACTTGTATTCCTCCATGCAGAGTCCTCCTAGGATTCATACTCCTAAGGATAATGCTTATCCTTTCACACCCTCCCCCACTCCTTTAAACCAAGTGGGATGGTTTTCTCCATGGCCGAACCACCATTTGACCGAGATAAAACTTGGCTTGTACTGAGCCACCGAATGGACCGAACTCATTCATAGTTCGGTTCTTTGGCCTTTCCTTTCTTATCTCGGCTTTCCATATAGAACCCATAGTACGGTTTTAGACCGAACCAGCGACTTTCGACTGGTATAACTCCCAAACTGGTATACCTCTAAGGTCGGTATAACTTCAAGTTGCTCCCAGACCGAAGTACATTTACAATCCTCTAACCGAAGTAACTTTATCATTTGTGAGCCGAAGTAATTTCACCTCCTTGGGCCGGAATAACTTTGTCTCTCCAAGGCCGGAATAACCCTACTCTCCTAGGCCGGAGTATCCATTACGCCCTTTTTACTTAGTCCTTCGCGTTTTGGGCCTCAAAGCCCAACTCGCAGGTCGGCCCAATTTTTCCCAAAAATTACCCTCTCAATTGCCCCTTAATTCCATCTGCGCCACATGATTGGGATTACCAGTCTACTGGCCGAGCTAGAGTTTATTAAGCTTTTCCAGCCGAGCTAAAAACCCTTTAGCCTCTCCAGCCTAGCGAAAAACCCTCGGGCTCTCCAACCGAGCTAATTTTACTTCGGGCTTCACTATGTCCGGTCAAAACGTCTCTTCAGTCAGAGTGACTGTAACGCTTCCTTTTCCAGTGACACGTGGCAAGCTCTGATAGGCCGTGGCCAACTGTCACGCCGTCCTACGAAATTTTTGTACAGTTCCCGCCACTTTTTGCCGCTCGTCCTTTTCACAAAACATCCCTTCATCTTGAATCATTCACTCACACTTTTCACATTCTTCTCTCTTCGTGCCTCTGCCTTGTCAACCTGCGTTTTTGTTCTTCTCTTGCAGTCACTGTCTTCATTTCTAGTCCCCTTCTCTCCAATCTGGTAAGTAAATCTTTTTTTTCCTCCCTTGTTTTTGCTTTCGCATATGTTCTATGTATTCGTTTCTTACTTTCTATGTTTTTTGCAAACATTTTGTCCATTTCTGGTTTGCTTCTGTATTTTCATGAAAAAACTATAGAACTTGTACGTGTATGAACTGTTATGTAGAAAAACCAGTCTTAGATCCAAAATCACATAGCAAGCGAACTAGGATCCTGTTTGCCCCAAATACGTAGATCTCTGTAGTCAAAAACCGAACTAGAACTTAAAAGTTTCAAAGGGTTACCAGAGCCTGGCTTTCTTGAGTCGAAATAAGATCACCAAGTTTTGAATATAGCAAACTAGGAACCTCGGTTGTCGACCGAACTAAGTTTTTGGGGTCAAACCGGCTTTCTTGGTTCCTAAACCGAACTCAGAAAGCCGCCCCAAAGGGTTCAACCGAAGTAACTTTCTTCACACTGCAACCGATTTAGGCTTTGGGGCTAAACCAGCTTTCTTTGTTTTTTAGACCGAACTCAGAAAGCTGCCCCTAGACGTTAAACCGGTCTACCGAGCAAACTGCTCAAACCGAGCTATCAAACCTTTTGATGAAAGAACCAGTTCTTTGAGGCCGAAGTAGGGCTTTTATACCTTGCTTTTAAATTGTAGCACGGACCGTTGATCAGTGCTTTAACCCCCTCTGTTTTTTTTTCACTTTGCAGACTTAGGTTACCCAGGCACTCCTGCGTGCGCTCAACCGAGCTACCAAGCACCATTTTTGCACCGATATAACTTATTTGTAAATTATACCATAAATGGGGAAGTATAAGCACCTAGTAAACACTCCGGGCGGTCTAGCCGAATTTAGGAAAGACTACCATATACCTGACAACGTTCAACTGGTTCTGGCCGAAAAAGACATCATTCCCTGGGACAAAGAAGGCTTCGTTCCCTTTACCCTTTTATCCATCATAGAAACCGGACTACGGTTTCCGGTTCAACCGTTGATCTGCGAGTTTCTTAGGCAGACTAGAATATGTCCAACCCAATTATCCAATGTTAAGGACCAATTAACATACTACGGAACAGGGGTGTCACAGGGCTGGCCGAAATCTTTCATCAATATTCAATCGGCTCAAAGGACGATGGGTGGGTTTACTACCTTAGGATACGCCGCCGCCGAGAGTAGATAATTAAATATACACCGGACAAAGACTTAAATGACGATGATTTTTTCTGGGTCTCTGGGAACTTTGAGGATTTTCAAGCCCAAATTCCTGGCCGACCTATAAATTGGAAGAAAGGCGAGCCTGGTAACTTAATTTCGGTCTTCCTCCTTGCATTTTTTACTTTGGCGTGTTCATGTTTCAACCGGACTAACAGTTGTCTTTTCTCGCAGATTTTGCCCACCTTCATTCCTTATACAGCTATCCAAACCTTGGAACCTTACGAGCTGCACTACGATACCCTGAACGTAGTTGGGCTAAGTTGTTGAATTTCGAACCGACCTACCGATATAGTGGTCGCCGGAAGGCCAGAGTAACTGACTTCCTTTTAGAAGACGCCCCCGAGCCAGACCCATCCTTGCCTGAGATCAGACTAATCCCGCTTACAGCCGAAGAAGAAATGGCAAAGAAGAACAGAGTCAGGGCTCTTTTAACCGAAACAACCAGGCCCGAAGTAACGCCACCCAGTCAACCGCAGTCTGCTGTTGTGGCCCTTCCCTCTCAACCGCCATCCTCTTCCCGTCGAACCAAACGTGCCCGAACTGTCGAAACCGAACAAGTTTTGGTTGATGAAGAAGAACCTGCTATTCAGCCGAGCTTACCACCAAGCCCCCAACCGGAGTCTTCCGACCGAACCATCGGCAGCTGGGCACCAAAACTTACTTTCAACGACCGAGACATTCGAGATACAGATTCGGTTGTTGCTGAAAAAGACCACCTGTTGGCCATCAATCTGGCCAAGAGTGTGTGTCTGCCCAAAGACATGGAGCATCACAACAAACAGTTAACCACCGAGCTGAAGTCCATCCGGTCTGCGACTAAATCCATGATTCTGGTTAGTAACTTCGGTCGTTTTTCTGTTTATTTTTCTTTTTCTTTTCAACTTTTACTTCGGCTAAAGGGAAGTTGTTGCTTTGTCAGGCCATTCAGAAAAACCAAATCACCCATAGGAAAGTACTGGAGCTTAGGAGAGTAACTAGGCAAGCAGCGGCCGAGGCAGAGGCGAAATCGGCCGAACTGGAAGAGGCCAGAAAAGAACTGGCCGAACTCCAAGGTGAAGTCGGCCGACTGACCGGAATGGTTAGTTCGGCCGAAGCTGAAAAACAAAAGACTGCCATTGCTCTGAAGGACAAGTACTTGCGCGAGCTGTTAAAACTTGAAAGAAAGAAGGATGCCGAAATAAAGGAGAGGGCAAAGGAAGCCGAAAAACAAGGCTTCAAGAGGGCAGAGGATGCTTACGCCCAACAATGCAATGCTGCCAAGGAGCTTTTCTTTAAGTGCGGCTGGAGGGGAGCCGTTGAGAAGCTCGGTCATGATCCTCAGACCGAGGTTTTCGACCCTCCAGCCTACTTTATACCGAACTCCCTGATGGAATACGCCAATGTGATGCAGCAGCAATTCCTTGAGGACTCAGGCTCAGATGAAGACTCTGCCCCTGAGGATACCCCGGTTGTGAATGTAGACCAGGTAGTTCGGTCGGAGCCCATGGTGGAAGATCTAACTGTCGCTCAACCAAGTGAAACCGTGGTTCCGGCCGAAACCACTCTTCCGACTG